GAAAATGACAGCAAACTACCAAACTCTTTCTATGAAGTTGTATAACACTAATACCTAAAGTGGAAAGGATTTCACAAGAATTGAAAACCACATATCTACTATCTCTAATGAACATCAATGTAAAAATTCTTAACCAAATATTGGCCAATAGAACCCAAAAGTAAATAAAACAAATAATTCATCATGACCAAGTTGGATTCATTCCAGGGATGGTTCAACATCAGAAAACTCATCAACATTGACAAGAAAAAGAATAAAAACCACATGAAAAGGTCAATAGATGCAGAAAAAACATTCAACAACATCCTGTACCCATTCCTATTTAAGACACTTAAGAAGATAGGAATGGATGGAAAATTCCTCAATATAATACAAGCTATATATGAAAAACCAACAGGTAGCATTATAGTCATTAGAGAAAATAAGGAAACAATACCACTGAAAAAGGGAACCAGACAAGGTTGCCCCTTGTCCCCACTTTTATTCAACATTGTACTGGAGGTACTAGTGAATAACGTAAGGCAAAGAAAAGACATTAAAGGTATTCATCTGGGGAAAGAAAGATGCAACTATTGTTATTTGCCAATGACATGATTCTATATATTGAAAACCCCCAAAGCTCCACAATTTGAGTGCTGGAAGCAATAGAGGAATATGGTAGATTGACAGTATGCAAGATCATCAAACAGAAGTCTATTGGATTACTATAAAAATTGGATAAAATCACAGATGAGATAAAAAAAGTACCCTTCACAATAGCCAAGCACAAATTATCTAGGAATATACTTAGTCCCCCCCAAAAAAATTTTACGAGGAAAACTACAGAACACGTTTGCACAAAAACAAAAGAGCCCTCCACAAATGGAAGAATATCCCATGCTTGTGGGTCGGAAGACTCAATATAGTAAAGATGTTAGTTGTACCCAAGGTACTATATAAGTTTAACATTATCCCAATATAAATACTAACATCTTTCCTCAAAGAACTGGAAAAACTGATGACCCACTTCATGTAGAGAAGGAAGAAGCAGAGAATTACCAGAGAACGCCTCAAGAAGAAGGATAAAGTTGGAGGACTTGCTTTACCTGACTTTAATACCTATTATATAGCCACAGCGGTCAAAACAGCATGGTACTATTATAAGGACAGAAACTCAGACCAATGGAAAAGAACAGAAAACCCAGAAATAATATCATCAGCACACAAAGAACTGATCTTTGAGAAGGGGCCCCAAAATATCAACTGGGGATCAGATGCCCTCTTGAACAAGTGGTGCTGGAAAAAATGGATAGCTACCTGCAGAAAAATGAAGCAAGACCCTCACCTCACTCCATGCACAAGAATAAATTTAAGGTAGACCAAACACTTCAAGGTAAAACCCCAAACTCTTAGGGCCATCAATGAGGGAATTGTGACCAAACTAAGAACCTTGGCGCAGGGAACATAGGCTACCAGAAATAGGGAAGGACACTTCCATAGAAGAAGCACAAATTGACAAGTAGGATATACTAAAGATAAAACACCTGTGCACATCGAAAGACTTCCCCAAGAAAATAATAAGAGAGCCCACAAACTGGGAAAACATCTTTAGCAATGACACTGCAAAGGGCTTATTACTGAAATCTACAATACTTTGCTAGCCTACAATAAGAAAAAACAAATAGCCCATTAAAGAGAGGGACAAAAGACCTGAACAGAAGTTTCACAAGGGCAGAAACCTGAATGGCCAACAAACATATGAGAAAATTTTTCTGGTCATTAGCCATAAGGGAGATGCAAATGAAAATAACTATGTGTTACCACCTAACACCCTCAAAGAAAGCTCAATTCAAAAAATCAGAAAGCAACAAATGTTGGAGGGGGTGTGTTGAGATAGGAACTCTCATCCACTGCTGGTGATCCTGTAGGTGTGTACAGCCACTATGGAAATCTATTTGATGATACAAATAGAAATGATACAAAAACAAATGGAAATCTAGCTACCATATGAACCGGTAATCCCTCTACTGGGCATATACCAGAAGAAGTAAGAAACAGACCATGATCAGACATCTGCACTCAAATGTTCAATGTGCCAGTTCACAATCACAAAGAATTGGAAATGATCTAAATTTCCATCAATTGATGAATGCATTAAAAAAAAAAAACACCCTCTGGTATACACACACAATGGAGAACTACACATCCCTAAAAAGCAGTGATGAATGCATGAAGCATATCATCTCATGGAAAGAGTTGAAGAAAATTATGCTAAGTGAAGTTAGCCAAGGGCAAATGGACAAGTACAACATGAGTCCACCGAGGTAAGTACAAAAAGCACAATGGGCATGAAAATATATTTATATGTTTAATTATTAAGGTAACAGACAGACTTTGGTCCTCTAACTCTTCCCTCAACACAAGAACACTTTGTTCTAATAAGCTGGCACTCCATGATACCTTCTCAACACGATCGCTGAAGACAAAATGGGTGCATAAGCAAATGTGGTGAAGAAAGCTGATGGTGCCTAGCTATTAAAAGATATAGCCCCTGGGATCTTAAAGGCTTGAAGTTAAATAAGCAGTCATCTAGCAGGGAAGCAACAAAGTCTACATGGAAAAAGAACACCAGTCTGTGTAATCATGAGGTGTCGATGGGATCAAGTATCAGAAGATCAAAAACAAACAATTATATCAATGTGAAGGAGAGGGGTCAGCATGAAGACCACAAGCCCGTCTGTAGACAATCGGACATTGCCTCACAGAAGAGACACTTGGAAAGGATGAGTCAGCCAGCGTGCAATATAGCACTGATAAAACAAACATTACTCTGGTTCTTTATTGCATTCTCCCCCACACTCCCCAGTTTTACCTCACAAATCCTGTGAGACTGGATTATGTACATCGGTACAGATAATTGCTTTGGACACATGGAAGCCAGGACAGATAATCTCCTCCCAAACAGTCATGGGAAAAGTGAAAAGACAAGGGGAGGGGGAGAGAAAGGAGGAATTGATAGCAATGATGAATATATAACACCCCCATGAGGGACAAATAACAGAAACATGGGTGAAGGGATACACTGGATGGTGTAAGATCTGAAAAAAAAATTATATATGTAATTAATTTATCAAGAGTTCATGAAGGTGGGAGGGTGGGGATGGAGGGAAAAGAAGAGGAACTGATAATAAGGGCTCAAGTAGAAAGATAATGTTTTGAAAATTATGATGGCAACATATTTACAAGTTTGCTTGATATAATTGATTTATTGATTGTTATAATATCTGTAAGATCCTCCAATAAAATGATTTTAAAAATAATAATAAAAGAAAACTGTTTACATGGTTTTGAAATGTCTGAATATAGTTACATTCTGTGTGTAGTTATGCACTATCTAATATTTATTTTGTTGCAGCTGGTTTGTTTTGTTTTTAATTTCTAAGGTAATACCTTTCTCCTTTAATTTTGTTTTTTAATTATCTAGAATATTTAAATGATCCAATATAAAAACTTATAGATTCATAGAAATTTCTCTTCCATACCAGTCTATGCCTTGTGCCCTTCTCTCTGTCCATAGGCAAATAGTTTGACTGTCCTCCTATCACATGAGGCATTTGTACATGTGTGTGTTTATTCCGATTGCACAAGACCGTTCTTCTTAAGATAGTCTTGAAATCAAGTTACATCCATATGCAGGTAATTTACTTTCTCTCATTATTTACTCAATCATTCCCCAAAGTGATTAGTATCTCGTTTGCTTCTAGTTTTCAGCAATTTTAAATAATGCATCAATGAATGTCCTTGGGCATTTAATAATTTTGTATTCTTGCTACAATAACTTTGGGAAGGATTCTTAAAAGAGATATTATATGAGTAAAGGGAGAATTCTTTGACAGAGGAACATAGTTTTAAACATGTCAATTTTGTCAAGAAATTAAAAAAATACATAGAATAGAATCAATGCAATAGAAATATTTATTAAGAACTATTTATTGTGGGATTTAAATTATTAAATTCATGCATAGTTTCTGATGATGTAAATAAAAATCTTAATACAAAAATTTTAACAACAACTTTAGTAGTTTAATCCATTATGTCTTAGAAAAAACAGGAAAAAATTTAACAGTCATCTATCAATATGGAAAAACAAACATATAGAGGTGGTTATATAAAGATAGATAGATAGATACAGATACAGATAAAATCATTCCCCTCCCCCAAAGGAGAGTATTTGTGATTTTAGTTTTTAATACAACCAAGAAAGTTGTTATATTATTGCTTAAATAAATCCATATACTCTTGTTAGCACAGTCTGGCCCAAGAAAAATGAGGTTTTAGTATGTAGTGACTAAATAATAGAATTTGAAGTATTTTTAAAGTGGTGGCAATTGTTCAACTTTTCTACTTAGACCCCATATAATCCAACTTTTAAATAAAAAGTGAAATGGGTATTTTTTACTTTTTTGGTGTTCATACATGTTATAAACACATGATTAAGTTGTTATTTCACTTGCTATTATCTTCTGAAATTAGGAATATTAGCGGTCCATAGAGTTTATGTGTTGGACTGCTAACTGCAAGGCCAGGAGTTTGAAACCACAAGTGGCTCCATGGGAGAAAATCACGGCTTTCTACTCCTGTAAAGAGATGTAATCTTGGAATCCCCTAAGCGCAGTTCTACCCTGCTCAATACGGTCGCTTTGAGTCAGAATCCACTCGATGACAGTGAGCGTGAGTGTTTGTTTGAGTTCCAGTAAAGAGGATATTTGTTTTCCTATTTTAAGCACTACAAAATTCAACCTCATAAAAATACGAACATTTGAACAGTAAACAAAAATTGATTGATTTACATTTGAGTAGTAGTAAATGATGTATAAAATATAGAAATTTCAAATGTAACTTGTATCAACAAAAATTGGTGAAAACATCATATGTGATGTTTCCTTGAGCTACCATATTATTTCTTCAGACATCTCCATAAATGTCATAAACACTCACAAAATGACATTCAGGAACAATAGTTAAAGTTGTATCTTCTGAGTTCTCAGGTTTCTATTAACAGAGATAACTCTTTGGGACTTCCTTTCCTTCTTCAAGGCTAAAGACAAAAAAGAAAAAACAAAACACTTTATGGCTTCAATATGTAGGGCATCATAAATTACCACCTTTGGTATACTTACAACTTCACCTCATTTCCTTTTAAGGATTATAAAGGCAAATACACTCTATATTTAGCTAACAATACTGTACTTTTAAAACACAAAAATACAGCTATATATATATTTGTAGTATAGAAAGATCATCAGAAAATTCATACAAACAATAGAATTCAAAGGTAATAGAATTTTCCTGAGAATTTTTTGAATCTGCCTTGCCATTCAGACTATCTCAACTCATAACCACTCTATAGAACAGAGGAGGCCTACTCCTAAGGCTTTCCAAGGCTCTAAATCTTTATGGAACCAGACTTCGTCACCTTTCTCCCCTGGAGTAGCCGGTGGGTTCAAATATCCACCCTTGCTCTTAGCAGCACAATGCTTAACGCAGTACATCAACATGGGCCTACACATGGAGTTAGTCATACTCATAGTCATATAAAAGGGGACATCAAAAAGATCATGGATAATGGAATTAAAGAATAATTTCCCAGGAACTATTGGAACCCCCCTTAAGCATTTTGACCAATCAGTACTACAGTGCAATGTATATGTAAGTAGTCTAGAAATAGCAAGATGCTATTAGTGAACTAAATATATAAAATATCATTGTGTCTATAATCTAGTTATTTAAAAATGAAATAGGAAAAGATTCACTACCTCTTTTGCAAACTCTCTTACAATCCTCTACGCTAACAAAGTTATTGCCATTTTCTCCACAGCCAGGATAGGTAATAGGTTCACAAGCTTTGTGTCTTGAATTAGCATAATAGCAAGTCACATTGGCAGAACACAGTCTCTCATCTTTTGGACTGTAGCAAAATGATGAATCTTTATGAAATACGAGAAAAAAATTATAAATGCTATAATATTAGAATTAGTAAAGTGTGATAATCATTGAAGTGATTCAAGGAAAGCTAATCCCATAGAAGCTTCATTCTGAATCCAAAAATGTTGAGCTAAATCATTTTAGGAAATGTGCTCAAATTAAATGGATGTGCTGTATTTTAGTATTTCTAAATTTTCATAAACCAGAAGGCGTTTTCTGAAGCTCTATCTTTGCATAATTTTGAATAAACAGATATTCAACCATAGCTCACTGCCACTGAGTCCATCCTGGCTTATTGCAACCCCACAAGACAAGGTAGAACCACGCCTGCGTGTGTCTGTGACCGCAGGAGTGGAAAGCGACTGGTGGTTTCAGGTTGCTCACCTTGGGTTTCGCAGCTGATTGTGTAACCACTACACCACCAGAGCTCCAGACTCAGCCATAGAGGTGAAGTAAAAATAGACTAAAACTCAAGAGATAGTATAGGACATGTTTTTGTCAACATTCTGTGTTAGCAATTTTATGTTACATATTTTAGTCACCACCTCTTCCATTATGAGCAAAACAAAAACCCAACCAGTTCCCACTCATGGCAACCGCTATGTGAAGAGAAGAACTGGCCTGTGGAGTGGTCTGACGGTGACTTTTCCACGACTAACCCGAATCTCTACCACTTACATCCTGCAAGGACTTCTGCTCAGTAGCGCATTCCTGTCCAGTTGACTCGGAGTGAGACGGTAGTGTTTCTTGAAGCGGACTGCTACAGCTTTTTCTCAAACTCTCACTGCCATTGAGCATTGCTGACTCACACTGACTCGAAAATAAGCTCGACATGCCCTGTGATTTTCCAAAACGGTGACTCTTTCCAGATGGACTCTGTCTCCTGGAAATTTCAAACTGCTGTCCTTGTGTGCAGTCATTCAACTTGTAACTGCTATGGCACTAGGGTGGACTACATTTTTGCCTATAAGCCCATAAAAACCCATTGCCCCTGCTGGCATGCCTGAATAAGTAAGGTTATTTGTACTTGTGCTTGCTTATTTGGGCTTAACTATGCTTACCTACTAAATATAGTGAGTGTCGAAGAGTTTCACATTTTCACCACATCAGGGATTCTGCTTCCAGATCCTGTCCATCAATCTCTCTTACAACTTCATGTCACCTTCCCATAGAATCAAAGCCTCATTTTACCTTTCTGATTCCTGACAGGGCCAAAATACTCAGTAAGCAAGTAAGTGTGGGTTTTGTGTTTTGATGAAAAGTTGTGACATTGTTCACTGCAGCTTCGTAAGAAAGCCTGTGCCCGTTATGTTTATAAGTAATCCGTCCCTACCCATTGAGTGACTTGAACTTACAGTGTCCTATAAGACCAAATCGAACTGCCCCATGGGCTTTCACGGCTGGAAGTCTTTTGGAAAGCAGACTGCCTCATCTTTCTCCCACAGAGCAGCTGGTGGGTACATTTAGCGTCAAGTGCTTTAACCACGGAGCCACCCCAACTAACCATTGGTAACTTTTCAGCGATACAACAATAAAGAAAGCACCAGCAGTAATCACTGTCACTCCATTAATCCAAGATTTTTCACAATCAGTAAAATATGGAGTCTCTGCCAAAGACTCTCCTTTAAAAAAATTTTTTTTTGGTAGTTACCTATGTCCCTGCTATATATGTTGGAAAATGCCGGCCTTGACTCCAAAAACATTAACTACTGTCCCAGTAATCCACTGTTCCAAGAACTGCAATGGGAAAAAATGGATAGGTAGGGAATGTGGAGAAAGAAAAGATGGCTATAGATCTGCTTGTGCTGCAAAAACTATAGGATCCAACTAAAGGCATAGGCAAGCAATGGCTCAGGTTTCACCATCTCACCTGTATATTCTCCACTGGCTCATATTTATCACTGCTTTCCTACAAATCTGAGGTTATGGTATCCATTAGTAAACACTATTTTTTAATAGTGCCTCTGTGCTTTGAAAATAACTTTATGAGGAGATTGAATAATTGAGAAACACTTCTAAAGATACAGTGGAGAAGAGGGAGGCAGGAAAAGTTTGAATCATGACTTGGTCACTCTCCAGCCCTAAGGACCCGACAAGGCATTCCATTCTCCCAGCTGCTCTCCTCCCATGTAAAAACAGGGATGCTAATACTTTCTCACAGGGCAGTGAAGTGAAGATTAATCAGGAGCCCTGGCGGTATAGTGGTTACACAATGGATGTTGAGGCGCAAGGTCGGCAGTTCCAAACCACCAGCAGCTCCATGAAAGAAAGACAGAGTTTCCAACTCCCATAAATGGTTAGTCATGGAAACCCACAGGGGTTTGCTATGAGTCAGCTATGACTCGATGGCAGGGAGTTTGTAGGGTAAGCGAAGAACGCACCCAAATTCAAACTATGCTAACTTCTCATCAAATTACTGACTTTTCACCCCAAAGTCTCAATAAAGAAATTTCATACAAACACCATGAAGCTCATGCTTACTTCTCCTTGATACGCAGAGTCTCATACATGCAGCTTTGTCTGGGAAGCTGTTCTCATTGCCGAGGCAGTTACCAGACTTGACTTGTTCACATGTCATGGATTTGAGGTTGAAATAATATTGCTTTGTGGCATTTTTACATGGTTTCTCACTGACTTCCAGCAGGCAATTTGGGGGAACTTCTAGGAAAAGGAGGGCAGTTAGTAAAACTTAGTCTTATAGCTCTCAAAGGTGTTTTTGGCAGAAACACCTGGAGGAAAAGCATCATATTTACTACCAGTGCAGTAAACTCCTAAATGCCAAAAACCAAACCCATTGTCATTGAGTAGACTCCAGTTCGTATTGACTCTATATAGTATCTCTCAGACTGTGAATCTTTATGGGAGCAGGCAGCCTCATCTTGCTCCCTTGGAGCAGCTTTTGGGCTTAACAGTTCAGTTCCTAAAAACTGTACCACCAGGGCTCTTTAAACACCCCAAAATTTCCCAGTTAACAATACTTTTCTAACAGTATCGATCCAGATCTAACTCAGCTTTGATAGATCTTTCAAGTCCAAATAGAAAATTCCATTTTCTCTTGGTGTGTTAAGCCAGGTTGACTAGAGAAACAAACCCAAGGACACTCATATATGTATAAGAAAGGGTGATTATATATATATACATAAATGTATATTAAGAAAACATCCCAGCCCAATTCAGATCAAGTCCATAAATCTGATATTAGCCCATATGTCCAATACTAGTACAAAAATTCTTCTTCAGACTCATGCAGTCACATGCAATGATGCAAAACCCAGGAAGATCACAGGCTGGTGGGTGAAAAGTCTTGTGGAGCCAATGGTGGGGGAAGCATCTCAGCACTGGTGTGGGTCTCCACGTGGGTCCTCCAGATCTGTGAGTGTGACTCTCCAATAAGAAGGTGAAGCAGTGAGAGAAGTTCTCGCAGAGCTCAGCAATTCTCCATGTGGGTTGTCAACAGGAATATGAAGCAGAGAGAGAGGAAGTTCCCAGAATCCTCATGAGAAGGCCGCACCCACAAGGAAGCATCGTCAGGCTGTGACCTGATTATAGGCTAGACTCCATCTCTACACTCATTTATCAAATTGATATGAAATTATGTAACCACCATAATTGGGATGTTCCCTTATTGTTGTATATGATGAAAACCAAAGTATATTCACAAAAATACACATTTTTCCCTGGCTCAGTTAAGTCCAAGTTCTGTTACTTGTCTTAGCTGTTATAATAAAAATAGAGCATAAAAATAAAATGAAACAGACAAAATATGTGTCACAGGACTCTCCGCTATATCCCTTAGTTAATTCAAGATATGTTTGGTTTTCAGGTAAAAAACTTGTGCTTTTATAATGCACAAAATGCAAATTTAGTAATAAAACCCATAAGAAATATTTCAGACTGATAATTCATCCAAACTAAGAATATGTTCTCAAGGAAGAACAAAATCCATGGCCTTCAAATGAAAAAAATGTAACACTTGGGTATTTGTGGCCCCAACAATGGTGAACACACAAATCTTTTCCTGAGTTATTCTCAGGGCCATTGAGTTAGGCAAAATGTTAACCAGGAGAGAGGATAAATATTAGTGGTCATTAAAAAAATGTGATTATTTTGAGCAGCTCAATGCCATTGAGGTTTACAAGTAATTTAGACAATTTGGGCTAAAACATACTTAGAAAAATGAGATCTGCAACGTTAGCTGGGCCTCAAGCAAACGATTCCAGTGGAAGTGGGCACTTACCCTGAATCCTCCAGCAGGTTTTCTTGCAGTCATTTTGGGTCTTGAAATTGTTGGCGTTTCCCTGACAGCCCCCATACCAGAACCGCTGGCAGCTCTGCAAGTGCCTGTCATAGTAGTATCTGGCTATTCGGGCTCTACAGGGTCCTTTGCACTTGGGTAGGAGACAAATCTCTGCATTGTTGTCTGCCAGAGAGTCCCCAGAGAGGAAAAAATAGGGGAAAGGGTCAGTCACATCTACAGGGAAGGAGAGAGGGACTTCACAGGGACGGCTCCTCCAAGAGAGAAAGTGGAAACTTCCCAGTGGTTCCTCGGGGCTCCCCAGGAGCCCAGAGAAAGAGCAGAAAAGCACCTGCAAAGGGCGCAGTGGGGTGCTTGGGGTACTCTCTCCCACAGGGCATTTTTGGCTCTAGAAGCAAAAGTGACTCCTCTATGGGGCAACATACCTGCCGGAGAAGTGGCAAAATTGCCCAGGGCAGTCCCAAGCAGAGACAGAATCAGCAGCAGCAAGAGGCCAAAAGAACCCATCGTGCTGATTTCAAATGCACCCGTGGGCAAGGTCCTGCGATTGCTCCTGGCTATAGAAGGGTGCTCAGAGTCCAGCCTGAGGCAGCCTGGGTACCTGAGCAGGGAGTGCTCTATTTATGTGTGGTGAGTGTCCTCCTGACCCCTGACAGGGTGGAGTGAGTTTGTACTGAGTGCAGGACCTGTGGCGGATTCATGCTTCTTCTCTACCAGGATGATGGGAAGTGTGTGCAGGTGCGAGGAATCCCTCACCATGTTCAACTCTCTCAAACTTTCTGTTGTGATGCAGCAGAGGTTCACGTGGTGTGTTCTGTGTCAGTGAGGAGCAATCCACAGGGCAGAAGGAAAGGCCTAGAGGTAACTGCACAACCTAACAGCTTGCAGCATTAACTTCAAAGCCTGAGTCCACATCTTGAAAGTGAAAGTCCATGAAATTGAAGAACCAAGGGAAAGTATTAAATTCATGGGCTCATGATAGTAGATCCTTTAGAGTATGATAGCTATAGCAATTACACAATTTCATGTCAATTTGATAAATAAGAAGGAAGGGTGGAGTCTAGCCCGTCAATCACCGTGTGGTGATCCCTCTTTGTGGGCGTGGCCTTCTCATGAGGATTCTGAGACTTCTTCTCTTCCAGCCTGGAGGCCAGGCACACTCTCTCTCTGCTTTGCCTTCCTGTGGACAAGCCACATGGAGCCACGCCGATGGGAGCCAGAGCCCTGGAGATGGGTCCACTGCCATCAGGCCCACAGGACTTAACACCCACCAGCCTGTGATCTTGCAGCTTTCAACATCATTGCATTTGCTGCACGAGTGTGAAGAGGAATTCATGGGCTAATATCGGGTGTGTGGGCTAATATAAACTGTATGGACTTGGTCTGGACTGGGCTGGGATGTTTCATTGATGCATAATTACCTCTTGATAAAAAGTTCTCTCTGGATTTGTTTCCCTAGTCAACCTGGACTAACACAATAGTGTTATATTAATTAAAACCCACTGTTATTGCATCTATATTGACTTACTGGGACCCTCTAGGACAAGGTAGAACTGCTCCTGTGAGTTTCTGAGACTGGTTAACTGTTTACAGGAGTAGAAAGTCCCGTCTTTCTCCTAAAGGCAGCTTGTGGTTTGTAGCTGCTGATTTTGTGAATCACAGCCAACACATACCCAGTAAGTCACCAGGGATCCATAATTTATTATATACATATGCATGTGTATATGTGTGTGTAGAGATGATAAATAAATGGATAGATGATTGATAGATAGATCGATAGATCGATAGATAGATAGATAGATGATAAATAAATGGATAGATGATAGATAGATAGATAGATAGATCGATAGATAGATAGATAATACTTTATTCAGCAGAGCAAGTGAATGAATAGACTAAGTATTTCTTGCTTTTCTTAGGACACCAATGAGACTTTACGGAATTCTTCCAAGTTTCAATAAAGTCCTGAAAAGTGCAGGACTCTCACAGTGGTTTAATATTTTGGGATATTTCTCATCCTATACCCCCTACCCCTTTTCTATTATCCTGACCTTTGTCATAGGATCACAATCCTAGGAATCAGGGTCTTGAAATCCTCAGAGCCATTTACACTTTGTATAGTTTGCTGGTTTCTGTGATGTAAATACGTCCACTAAGCTGGTCTAGCATGTCAATCACAGAGACCGCCAGCCAGTTTTGAAAAGTCCCATTTATAGAAAAATCATAAGACTCGGTAAATCTATAGAGATATCAAGTAAATTCCTGGTTTCCTGGTGGTATAGCAAAAGAGATTTGGAGGAAATGGGGAGCTAGGAACAGTAAATACAAGAAAGAAGGATATGTTCTCAACTTGAATGTGGGGATGATTGTACAACTCTTCTTAATATGCTTGCACTATTGAATCATGATGTTGATTATATGCCAATAAAACGGTTAAAATGAAGGAAAAGAATAAATAAGAAGAATCATAAGAGGTGCTTCCTAGTACCCCCCCAAATATTATTGTTATTGGAAACCATGCAGTGGATTCCAAATCATAGCAACACAGTGTACAACTGAACAAGACCCTGCGTGGTCCTGCATGATCCTCACAATTGTTTTTATATTTCAGCCCAAAGATGAAGCCACTGAAATATTTTAAATTAAAAAACAAAATAAGAAACCAACAAAATCTCACCCACTGCCACCATCGGGTCAGTTTCCACTCATAGCAACCCTATATGACAGAGTACAACTGTCCTTGTGAGTGTATATGAGCAACTCTTTGCGGGAGGACAAATCCTCATCTTTCTCCAGTGGAGCTGCTGCTGATTTTGAACTGCTGATCTTGTAGTTAGCAACCTAACTCATAACCCACTGATCTACCAGGGCTACTGAAAAAAAGAAAAGAAAATATCTTTAGGGTAGGGAAATTTTACTGTTTACCAAGATCATGTTGTAGAGAAAATTCAAATTTACTTATTTTTCTGACTATGATTAAATACATTTATAAATAGACGAAAATAAAGCTCAAAGACTCATGTTAAGTTTCAGTTGAAATGCAACATTGACTATTGCTGCTTTTGTTCTTTGTACTCAGATATGGGTCTTTTCTATTTTTTGGCTTAATTATTCTTTGCTTCATATATGAAGTGACAATCTGAATCAGGACAGATATTTGGAAATATATTAAGGGGGAAAAAAACGTAAAAGTCAAAGGAGACACGGGTTTTATTTGTTTTTCATTCAGGCAAATTACCTAAAACTCAAGTTTCCATTTCCTTATGTGTAAAGTGGGGGCAATAACTTCTTCACAGGTCATTCTGAGAATAAAATGGGAAGGGTCAAAGCTACTCTCTTATGCTTTGAATATACATATTCAAAGAGATGTATATGTGTTTCTATCTCCTCACATACTGACTCAGATATTTCCTGTTCATCCTTTATTCCCCCTTATTCCAGGTCCCACTGTGGGCCTTGGCATGACATTTTTAGAGTGAGCATGAACTATAATCAGGAAGCTGAGCACCGTGAGCTTCTGACCTTCCATCCACGTCACCCTTCAGCTAAGCTCTCTCTGCAGAGGAAAGTGTCCCAGCAATCAGACATCACTCTGATGGCTTCTTCTGGGGTTCTTGAGCTCTAGGGCTTTCCGCCAACGCAGAACACTCAGTCCACTCAGGGCTGCTGCGTAATGGATGGAGCGGGAGGAGGAGAACAGAGGCAGCCTTTCCTCCTTCTGTGGAACCCCGGACTCTACACACGGGCAGAAACCAGTAGCCAGAAACTAACTCTGTAAAATGTTAGCTTCCTTTCCTTTCTCTGTACCAAACAGTGTATGTCTTTAATAGCTTTTTGGGAGAAAGATGAGGCTTTCTATTCCCAAGAAAAGTGACAGTCTTGGAAACACACAGGAACACCTATGTCTATTCTGTCCTACAGGGTCACTATGAGTTGGAATGGACTTGGTGGCACTGAGGTTAGTTTGGGTTGTAACACTTTTATGTCCAAGGAATAGGAACAGAGAAGAAGAGGTAAAAAGGATTGAAAATAATGGGTGGTTGAAGTTTTGAGATGGTCAAGCCAGTATTTCAGAAAGGAAATAATTCCTCTTGATTGCACAATACTTATTTTCTATATCCATGAAAAATATATTTTCCAATAGAAGGGAAGCTATATTTTCTAGAAACTACAGTACACACACAGACACAGACACACACAAACAGAGGCAGACACACACACACATACAGTACACAGACACACACACATACAGACACACACAGACACACACACATGCAGTATACCCACAGACACACACTTGCAGTACACACACACACAGTACACACACATGGAGACAGACACACACACATATTTGCAAATACATGCACCTTCTATATTTGCTTGCCAACTGATCTCTCTTCTATGGAGGTGTTTTCATAAGTGCCATTATGCCAAATTTGTTTTACATGTTGCTGAAAAAAAGGAAAGAAAAAGAAAAATCTCTTAGTGGAAGGAAGCAGTTGGAAAACAAATGTAGAAGTTGTGTTATTTGCACAACAATATAGATAATTTGAAATTAAGTTGACTAGTTGCACAGCAGTTGTTTCGGAAGCGCTGATGGCTCCAATTCACCTGCTCTTGGGAGGAGGAGGTGGCCATCTGCTTCCATGAAGATCACAGCCCAGGAAACCTTACCAAACAGTGCTGATTTGCCCTACAGAGTCATGGAGAATCCGAACAGGCTCACATGCAATGGGGGCTTTGACTTTGGAGAAGCTGGTTAAACTTGGTCAGCTACTGTGTTATGCTATCATTAGTCCACAATTAGCGTAGTCTTTCAGTCCCGATAAGCTTTCTTTTGAGCCCTTTGTTCCTGGGAAATTATCCCATCACAACAAGCAACTATCAGTTATAACGAGGTATGACGTGCCCATGATGCTCAGAAAGGACAATGACAAAGCACAGTTGACCCCAGAATGAAAGAACTTTGGTCAAGGAACAAAACATCTTTGAAATAAAGTCACCAGATCAACTTGAACAACATTTATGGGTTCAACAAGTAATTTCCTGACCAAGACAGATAATCATCCCTCAATTCTATGCTTCAGAAAACTGGTAGATATTGATGATCATTTTAATTTACTTCCTGGTGTACATGCATAAAACTGCAAATCTGTATATTTTTAAGGGCTTTCCTCAGAGATTTTGGTCCTAGTTTACTCCTTGTTTGATCAGCTGAAGTTAAACTTTCTCCTTTCATTTTCAGCTAAGTCTGACTTTTGTTTTTAAAGCTGTAAGGATAGGGAGAAAGGGGGAACTGATCACAATGATCTACAACCGAAAAGTGGGTGAAGGGAGACAACAGACAGTGTAAAACATGAAAAAATAATAATTTATAAATTATCAAGGGTTCGTGAGGGAGGGAGGGTGGGGGAGGGAGAGAGGGGAAAAATGAGGAGCTGAAACCAAGGGCTCAAGTAGAAAGCAAATGTTTTGAGAATGATGAGGGCAACAAATGTACAAATGTG